AATTTATCATAGCCAATTCATATCTCATACCATCGTAATTTCCTCTATTTCAATTCAGAACCTTAGTCTCAGTTTCAACAATGTCACATATCATGGTCACTCTTCACCAAGGGGCTTCACACAGCTAGACTGTGCATTACTCAAACTCCAGTCTAGGATTGCCTGTCCTCTAGTTGATTCCTCAATGTATTTATCCAGGAAACCACCTCTTACACTGTCCTGGAATTTCTCCTCTGCGGCATTGTTACTGAATTGAACTGCCCAATCTATATGCAGATTAAAATTGCCCATACTTACAGCAGTAGCTTGATTGCTCGTATCTCTAATTTCCTGATTAGTGCCTCGCCCAACATTACCACTACAGTTTGGGAGTCTAAATTCAACTTCGCTATTGATTTATGCCCCAATGTTTCTAAGATCTCCCCATATGGATTCCACTTTAATGGAGCAAAAGTCTATCCTCACTACAATGTAATGTCGTCTTTAACCGGCAACACTACCACACCTCCTTTCTCTCTTTCACTGTCTTTCCTAAAAACCAAATACCCCTGGACATTCAGTTCTCATTACCCTGCACCTACATCTCATTAATCCAAACTATATTGTATCTGTTCATATCCACTTTATTGTGAATACTCCAAGCATTTAACACAAGGCCTTAGGTCTTGGCCTCTTAACATTTCTCGTTGCATTCATATTATTTTGAATGGTGGCTTGAATTCTCTGCCAATCGCTTTTCTGAGTTGCCCTTGCTTCCCACTCTCTCTCCTTGTACAGAAGCCCCTTCCCCTTCCATTTTAGCTTAAACCACACACCCCCAACCCCACTAGCAAATGCTCCCCCGAGGACATCAGTTCCAGCTGATCATGGTTGATCCTCTATCTCAATGCCATAAACCCGCTTCCTCAACATATCCCTTGATGCATTTAAGTATAAGACTTTATCTGTCTCTTTCTTGAATATATTCAGCGGCATTGCCTCCTTTGATTGTGGTGAAGAATTCCACAGATTTACCATCCTTTGAGTGAAGAAGTGTTTCTTCATCTCAGTCCTAAATGGTTTACACTGCATCCTGATACTGTGACCCTTAGACTCCCCAACCTGGGGAAACATTCTCCCCAGACTAGACTAGTCTGTCTAGGTAGAAGTTGATATATTTCAATCAGATTTCCCTTCTCATCCTTCTAAACTCTCGTGAATACAGGCCTGGTTGAATCAATGGCTCTTCACATGACAGTCCTGCCATCGCTGGTAGCTGCTCTGTGAATCTACACAACGTTCTCTCTATGGCAAGGATGTCCTTTCTTAGGTAGAGAGATCAAAACTGTACGTAGTAGAACAGGTATAAGTTTCACCAAGGCCCAGTATAACTGCAGCAAGACACTTCCTACTTCTGAACTCAAATCAAATCCAATTGCAATGAAGGCCAACATACCATTTGTATTACTAATCATTTGCTGTACCTGCCTGTTCACTTTCATTGGCTGGTGTACATGGATACCCAGCTCCCTTTGTGCATCCACGTTTCCTAACGAACCCCTTTTTAAATAGTACTCTGCCTTTCTGTTTTTCACACCGAAGTCTATGACTTCACATTTAGCCACATTGTACTGCATCTGCCATAGGTTTGCCTACTCACTTAATTTGTCTAAATCACCTTGAAGCCTCCTTGCCTCCTCCTCATAACTCGTAATCCCACCAAGATTTGTGTAGTCAGCAAACTTGGAAATGTTCCATTTGATTCCCTCATTCAAGTCATTTATATTAAATAAATGAAATGCCCAGTGAACTGTCAGAAAATGTATGGTAGCCGGGTTTGCGGTTCCTTGCAGACATAACATCAAAACTGAATGAGTTTAACTGCGAACAGCAGAGAAACGACAAAGACTTAGAACATATGATCAGTGCTCTGAAAGCATTCAAACTGAAACTGAATCTATGTCCGCTCCACACTCCCCTCCAGCTCCACCACACCCGGCACTTTTCCCTGCAACCGCAGGAAGTGCTACACCTGCCCCCATACCTCCTCCCTCACCCCCATCCCAGGCCCCAAGAAGACTTTCCACATCAAGCAGATGTTCACCTGCACATCTGCCAATGTGGTATACTGCATCCGCTGTACCCGGTGTGGCTTCCTCTACATCGGGGAAACCAAGCGGAGACTCGGGGACCGCTTTGCAGAACACCTACGCTCGGTTCGCAACAAACAACTGCGCCTCCCAGTCGCGAACCATTTCAACTCCCCCTCCCATTCCTCAGACGACATGTCCATCCTGGGCCTCCTGCAGTGCCACAACGATGCCACCCGAAGGTTGCAGGAACAGCAACTCATATTCCGCTTGGGAACCCTGCAGCCCAATGGTATCAATGTGGATTTCACAAGTTTCAAAATCTCCCCTCCCCCCACCGCATCCCAAAACCAGTCCAGCTCGTCCCTGCCTCCCTAACCTGTTCTTCCTCCCACCTATCCCCTCCTCCCACCTCAAGCCGCACCTCCATCTCCTACCGACCAACCTCATCCCGCCCCCTTGACCTGTCCGTCCTCCCTGGACTGACCTATCCCCTTCCTAACTCCCTACCTACACTCACCTTTCCTGGCTCCATCCCCGCCTCTTCGACCTGTTTGTTTCCTCTCCACCTATCCTCTCCTCTATCCCTCTTCTATCCGCCTCCCACTCTCTCCCTATTTATTTCAAAACCCCCTTCCCCTCCCCCTTTTCTGATGAAGGGTCTAGGCCCGAAACGTCAGCCTCTCTGCTCCTATGATGCTGCTTGGCCTGCTGTGTTGGTCCAGCCCTGCACCTTGTTGTCTCTGAATCTATGTTCGTTGCATTTAAAGTATAAAACACTGCAAAACTGCCCAAGTCTAGAGAAATGTTAGAAAACAAAGCAAAGAACTTCCGAGCACACAATTCTCTTATTTCTGCTCTCACTGGCATGTGGAAATAGAGGTAATTATGAGATTACTGCTTTAGAGGTTCTGCTTTATGATCTCCTTCCTAGCGCCCTAATATCTGTTTTTAGGTCAGAAATTAGACAAGTCCTAAGTCATTGGTATCAACGTGGACCAATATGGGAGGGTTTTCACTCTCCCCCAGAAGACGTTCCTGTCACCGCTCTGTGACATCCATGCACAGGGAGGCAACATTCCATGCTGGAGAACGTCTAAGACCATATGAACAACTGCCTGATCCCTCCCCCACCCCCTTCTCCCTCTTCTCCCATACAGCAGAGCTACCCATTTTGCCACAAACCTGGCTCTGACTTGCCTCCTCCAAGGAACCAACGCTCTCAACAATATCCAAAACAGAAAGCCGATTAGTGACCACGACTCCAAAGGACTTCTGGTAGTCTTGAATTGCTTGGCAGTCACCTGTTCTCTCTCGTACTTCTCGCTCTAATCCTCGGTGTGACCATATCTCTTTACGTTATACTTACAAAGCTCGAGGCCTTGCAGTAGTCATAGTGCCTCCAGCTGCCAATCAAGTTCCAAGTTTAAAAACCGAAAGAACTGCGGATGCTATAAATCAGGAACAAAAACAGAAGTTGCTGGAAAAGCTCAGCAGGTCTGGCAACA